AGATTTTGGATGTTGACATCATAATGATCCGGTTTTATGAAAAGATTTTTTGAGTATTACTTGCAATTTCAAAACGCTGAAATGTCAGGGAATAGGGATAGCATTTGGGATTATTGTGAAAGCCGACTTTCAGGAAAGGCAATGGGGAGTATGATGGAGAAATCGCATAAAACCTCTGCAGTGCCAAACTCACTCTTTGAGTTAGATAGACTTATTGATGCTAATCCTTTGAAAATTATTTGCTTTGGTTTAGAGATTGGCAAGTACGTAATGCAACTTTCTCTTAACACTTTCTTTGAATAGTGCGCTACCTTTGTGGCTTTATGTATAACATGCTGTAAGCTACAAATCTGCCTTAAAGGCAGCGTCCAGGCAGATCTGGACCTATGGGGATTTTACGTGGAAAGTATAGGCTGTATCAGCCAGCATCGGTCTCGCGTCAGTATGACTTGCGACGACGCACTGTCGCACGCGACGTGCGTTAACGCGTAGCAGAGTTCGCACGCGTCACACCGCACCGCCGCAAGTTGCCGCAGGCGCGACGTCGCATAACCGATGCTGGCTGGTACAGCCTATACTTTTGGGGCCCTAACTAAGGCACTGCCCAAGGCAGCGCAGGTAGTGCTCTAACGGCTAAGATATTCCCCTCGAAACTGGACCCCGCGATCGTATTCGTATGGGTTCACGGCAGTTTCGCGCCAGGATCCACGCTTTGCGCCATGAATCCATGCGGAATACGATTGCGGGGTCCATCGAGGGAAATATCTCAGCCGTTAGAGCACTACCTGAGCTGCCGGTTGGGCAGTGCCTTAGCTAGGGCCCCAAAAGTACTTTCCACGTAAAATCCCCCTAGGTCCTTGTCTGTATGCTGCCTTTAATGAGTGATTTTCAAAGCTTCGGACGTTGTCAGTTCTCCGTCGTTTCATGACGATCAGAATGATATATAATGTTGCAGGGTTTCGTTGAGACCCCGCGGAAATCTACGACCAGAGCCAAATGCCCCCCCCCCGGCTCTGGTCTGTCTCCGCTGCTCGTCTGCGTCTCCGCGCGCGCTACGCGCTACCTAGCTACGCTAAACGCGGGACGCGTTTAGCGTAGCGAGGTAGCGGGCTGGCTCTGGTATCCTTTTCTTCGCTGTTTCGAACCCAAATTTAGCAAGTTATATACCATTTTAAAGCTCTTGATCGCTACTTTCACGATGACAACGTCCCAGAACCACATTTTTTGATTTGATCGAGAAATCCGGCAAAAACCTTGTTTTCAAAAATCTCTTGTTTTTCTCATAGTTTAACTCTTCTCACGCGGTTTTTTCGTGCATTTCATAGATCTTGCTTCTGTTCATAATGCAGACAACCACCTAGCCCCTACCTCTTCGCTTATGGTGGAACTTTTTGCGAAAAATCGTAAAAAGTGCGTTTTTCTTTACTTTGTTCTGTTTCAGTGCTTTCGCATCAATTTTTCTCCAGCTTGGGCGATTGTTGTTCAGAACAATAAACGCAACAATCCATACAACGTTAAAGGAAACAGGACCGTCAATGCGGGAGAAAAATTTAAAGGACGCATTAAAAATCAAAACCCCGTGTTGCGAATTGCTGGTCCTGGAGCGGAAACCCTGCACCTTGAAAAGCCGCCAAATGGAAGATTTCATACCTTACTGCAGCGTTTTTATCCGGTTTGCAGCAGTTTCTTTTGCTTTTTATATCTGTTTTACGTCATTTTCTCTTCTTTGATCTTCTTTAAACAATCTTCACTATTTATGACGTCAGATGTTCAAACAACCTTCACTTTTAGCGCCCTGTCTCTAGACTATCGAAGGTATGTACGACACCCTCCCCCCCCAAGTTTGCGTCGATACCCCCTCCCCCATTGTCTGCCTGTCGTAGGCATGACATAAAGGTTTACTTAGCATAGTTAGTAACATTTTTGTGATTATCATGTCGGAGAATCCCTGTGGGCCATGTTTTGGCGAATTGTTTCCCAATATCAAGACACTCGAGTGAAGCGACCATTTTCACGATTAACTGTATTTCAAAAGCGAACTGGCTACCTCTTCTTGTACTCAATACAAAGCACTACTCCATATTTGCCTACACCATGAATCCTGCTACAAATAACAATCAAACTATGGGATTAGAAGCCAGCCAAAATCTCGTTTATCCCATTTTTTGCTTGAAGTGTTTGTGCTTCCAAGAACTATTCGAAGAGCCTCAAACTCAAGAGAACGAATTCAGCTCTAATCACTTTTACAAAAACTAGGAGATTTTTGCTATCGAATTGCACCTAATATATCTCCTAAGATTCTTTTTGGAGGTAAGTTAATGGGTTGTGCCACACCCAGTCAACTTACCTTCAAACCATTCAAATAGTTGCTCTTTTTATATCTTTGCTACTGCTCAACCTTCTTCTTTATACAGTAAGAAAATCATTTGAAATTGTTTCTTCTAAGGAAAGATATACTCGTTTTCCCTTACCTATGCAAATGGAAAATGCTGCGAAAATATTGGGTTACGGTAACAAGCCTAATCTGCACTACCATGTAAATCGCGAAACAATGCGACAAGGATAAATATATTTGATAGACTAAGCCTAATAATTTACATAAAAGTGATTTGAGCCTACTGGTCCTCTCTAATCTGATGTATTGAAAGCGGAAAATGGAACAAGTGAGATTTTGGCTTGCTCGTAATTCCATAGTTTGGATGTTATTCGAAGTGGGATTCCTATTGTGACCAAACAAGTAAGTTCTTTGTATTGAGTGCAGAAAGTAATAGCAACTCAATTTTGAAAAGAAGGTAACATGTTTGAATATGACTAGTATCTCACTTGGATGGTCCAATTTTTGGAAACCTCAAAATTCGCTGAGATTTGGCCCACAAGCGTTATTTGACATTCTTAATACGAAAGTGATGCTCTTGTGCTTATAGTGCTCTTTTATTACGCTTGTGCGTTCAAGATGGTAGGCCAAAACATTAATGTGCTATTACTTTACACAGTGCCTATCTGACATTGTTAACGAATATCATGTTATCTCTAACATCAGCTCACCTCGACAACGACTCCCTCTCTCCGACCCTTCAATACGACCAGTGTGGCATGCCACACCCCACGCTTGACCCTGGTCATAATCACTGACCAAAACGGCTCCCGATTTTATAGATTTTGGCCGGAGAAAAATTTGAGAATTTGAAAGAACATTTCCGAAGGCTGGTTACTGTTATAAAGCCACCTCCCATTTTCGATCAATGCTACATTGTTTGAATCTGAATTTTTTTGTTGTACATATACAATAACAAAATACGAAACATTTGTTACACCTGAGAGCTATCGCTTTTGGAAAAAGAAGCCTTTGCAAATAAATACGATAAAAAGCGCTTGAGTCAACATTGCGTAGTCGCTGATATTGATAAACGAGCCTTACCTTATCGAGGTATAAGCGCACTTCTGAGACGCAAAACTCGATTTCTGACACGCGAAAACTAGTGGTCGAAAGTTGACACTTTGTTTGCATGGCGACTTATTCATGCAAAAGCTGTCAGAGTTTTTGCAAAGAAGTATTTGCAGCAGTGAAGTCAAGGCCATTGCAGTTGGAGTGTGCGCAGTGGACCTCACATGTCTTCAAATCTTACTTTTTTGGCTCCTCATTGAGTCAAATCTTACAGATTGCCAGAAATACTAGAATTTCAAAGCTCTGGGTAATCTTCCGCCCGATTGAACGGTCAGAGTGGGTCATAATTATGCAAAATACACCACTCTTTTTTGGAAAAAGGGCGTCCAAGGCGGAACAAGATCCTTAGAGTAGCGATGATGTTTAAGCTATCCACACAAGTCTATCGTTGTACAGACGACGTACTGAGCCATGACAGAGCTTCGGGCATAGAACTCAACTTCTGTGGCTCCTCGTCTACCTAGAGGTAAGGTTGAGGCCCGTCTATCAATATCAGCGACTACGCAGTGTCGACTCAAGCGCTTTTCATCGTATTCATTTGCAAAGATTCAGCGAATTCTAGGACATTTATCCGAGTCAAACAAAAAGCTTCGAAATTTGGCGAAAAGCAGTTTTCAAAACAGTATGACTTTCTATGCATTTTGAAGCAAAAAATGTAGTACAAATCATCTTTCCAGAGGCGATAGCTCCCAGGTGTAACAAAGTTTCATATTTTGATGTTGTATGTGTACAAAAAATTCAAATTAAAAAAATGTAGAATTGGTCGAGAATGGGAGGTGGCTTTATAACTATGACCAACCCACGAAAACCGTTTTTTTTTTCAAATTTTTTTCAATTTTCCTCCGGCCAAAACCAGTGAAATCGGAAGCTGTTCTGGTCAATGTTATGACTCTGATTTGCACAAAGTATATATTTTTAGAAAATTTTGAGCAAGAAAAGGCAAATTACAGTAATTTTCCAGGATGGCTTTATAGCTATGGCCAGCACTGTATGACAGTGTGTAAATTTTTCTTCTTACAGTATATCCAGCATTAACACGTCTCACTGCACTGGTAGAATTTGCCAGAACAGTGGTCGCACTCGTTGCATACTTCGTAATCTGCACAATGTCATAATTTGAGTCCGCCTTATTCGGAAGGAGAAAAGTACTCGGAGAAGTTGCATTATTTCACAAGCTGTCGGTTGTGAACCTATTATACTTCAGTTGTTATTATAGTTGATTTTCGTTAACCGCACGGATTGCATATTACTGCGGAGCACGCGCCGCGAGGTAAAGCGCTTGCCCCAGTACAAATTCGCCAGGTCGTTTGTACAAGTCGCACTCTCGCGACAATTCAGCCGCGCAGCGCATGGTCCACAGCGTTTGAGCAGTTCGCGTGGTCAACGAATCGACGATACATTCGCCTTCATGATTGTTTCGAAAAATTGCGTTACTCAGTTTTCAAACTATAATACTTCAACCATCATTACCGATCGTCTTCATAATTGTCGCTCTCGTTCCTGGCACTTTGTATTTATCTCATTCATGTTTGTTCGCTAGATCTAGTTCATTCAGGTTTGGAAGTCTGCACCACGCTTGACCACTACTGCTTTTGTTGATTGCATATGGCGGAAGCTACAACGATATTGATTGGTAACGGTTCAAACAGTTTCACAGTTGCATGATTGTTAGATACCAGTGCATTACAAGGTGCAGATAAATAAATAAATGGACAACCTTTTTTGAAGATAAGTCTATAATTATGAACTCCTATAAACGCCTACAGACCGAATGGTTTCAGTTTTTACAGCTCACTGGAGTGCTAGAGTTTTCAATCTTTGAGTACTCACTAAATACCCTGACTTCACGAGTACAAGAACCTTTTTCGACTTTTCCAGCGAGACGCTTATCCCCCTCGCTGTGTTTCGGAACGAAACTCATGCCGCATGATGCTCTCATGCATTTCGCAGCACAGTATGGGGCCCTTTGGTCGCGAAATTTCTTAATGTGTCAAGTTAGCCAAATTTAGAAAAAAACTGGTGTATTCTGTAATCGTAAAATTAGGGTACTCCTGCAGTTCTTCCCATACAGATGGGCACCGATCATGGATGTCGATACGGAACTAGCGTTTGCCTTGCGCTACAAATTTCTAAACATTGTTGAGCTGATTGTCTTCGTAGACACCAATGTGTAGGCTCATTAGTCGCGCCGGATCAAGCTGTTTATCGTTTCCGTAAAAAAATAATCGGATATCGCTTTTTGAGGTTCGGAGCGAAACCCTGGAAAACATGCGATGATGTAATATGTCAGAATAAGCTCTATGTGTCGCGGATTGGGCCCCCAGCTCCCAACGTCAGTGGTACTATGACTCTCCTGCATCGGCGAGGGGAGCCAGGGGTCCCATCCGGGGTAGGATATGTAGCATACATTGTGGTGGCGTTACCTGTGATAATGCTACTTGCGCCTGCCACATAACCTGCCATGCACACATAGAGGCCCTTGCCACCAGCCTACTTAACAAGTCATTCGACACCTGCGGTCGACTCATACTCCCAACTATCGACAGTTGAGGCGTGTACACATAACCATGACACTTAGCTAGCATCGTGCCAGCCTTGTGACAGATCTTTCCCACTAGGCTTGATTATAGAATACACATGAACATAATGACACGAGATATCCCCGGAGCCACAGCCGAGCTGTGGCTCACCGCACCAAACAAATCACACGTGCAAAATGCCCACCATTTATCCGCAACAAATCCCTAAACTCAAACGCAAGGGTGGAGCACAACCAGCCAGATCTTATCCTAGGGGCCAGTAATATCGGAAACCCTCCGTGGCGGTTCGCCGGCATGTGCCAGGCGCGAGCGCGCACGGAATTACCTCGTCTGCGGGGTTGCCTGTCATCCTCGGCGTGTTGGATGTAGACGAACGCGTGAGTCGGGACAGCGCTGCATCGATCGATAGCATGGGAGACGAAACTGGGACCCAACCGCTCACCAGGTAACGAAGTTGACGACTGATTTGAAAGCTGCGCGGTAGAGATGGAAAGGCGGGAGCAGCGCGAGGACAGCGTTTCGGGACCCTTCGTAGCGCGGCGGCGGCTTCACTTGATGGAAGTCGCGAATCCGCGACACTATGTTACTGCTTGCAAATATTCTCACCAGTGTAGACAAGTTAAGACAGGATCCTCAGTTACAGTCGAGTAGATTTCCTGCTTAATATAGTGTCCCTGCAGACGCGACAACGCTTATGCGTTATTAAATGCCACTACGAGTTTCAGCAGGAGTTCTACATTGTTTTCTCTGCTTATTTTTGTTTTTTAGGCCAGTCCTTGCTGATAAATGAGAGAAAGGTAAGCTAATCAGAAGTTTTTGTTTTTTGAGTATGTAAATCATCGCTTATTCCGAGTATTTACGTGAAAACCAGCGTCAGTTTCGGCGTATTTTCTGTCACTTCATGCCTCTTCGCGTCATTTCCTTTGTATTTTTTGTCACGCGATGCCTCTTTTTTCTTGTGAAGCATTTCTTGAACGCTAATAAGTTTTTATGTGTGACTTACTGCTTTTATCCCAAACTGCTCCATTGGTTGACTCCGTTTAGAGAAAATCCGTAGTTGCTGCAGAGCCTACTAACTCAAAGAAATGCTTTACGAGAAAAAAGAGGCATCATGCGACAAAAATACACATGAAACTGACGCGATGTGGCTTCCACGTAGACACCTGAGAATTAGCGACGATATAAATATTTAGAAAACAGAATAGAATATTTAGAATATTTAGAAAACATAAATTACTCTTAAACATACCTGCCTGTTTTTTATCAGCAACGAGTTACCTAGAAAGCAAAGAATAAGCCAAGAAACACTAGAACGACGCTCACTACTTCGCAATGGCAATTGTTGACGCACTAGCGTTGTCGCATCTGCAAGGACACTATATGAAAGGTACCGTCCACTCAAAATCTCGAATTCAATGTTTTTGTCGCCTTCAGGCCTTTTGGAAGCCCTGATTTCGAATATGGAGTCGAAAATCCGCGAAACCCCCGAAGTAGCAAGGTAGGCGGGGCGAACATGGTCAAACAACAACGAACATGGATTTCTCGCTCCAGAAGCGGTCTTTTGCGGCGAAGCTTGGAGGTTTGCCTAGTGTGGGGGCCCACACTAGTATGCCATCATAATCTCGCCAACCTCCATTTTGGGTGGACGGCGCCTTCAAGCAGGAAATCTACTCGACTGTACATGCCCTAACAGATCGCTAGCTAGCTTTACCCGACTGTTTGCTCAGATATCTCTGTACCATATCGACATATTGAGTTTTGAATAGTAGCACCGAAGTCAATGCAGTTCTAATTAAGCTTAAACTAAGATAGTAGAATCTTGTAAAGGCAAAAGACTCTCCGAAACGAGTAAGCAGTGCAGTTCTCTGACTTTTTTCAAGTTCTATTTAGGCAAAAAGCAAATAAATGTAAATAAAACTAAACCAATACTTACGTACAGTATGCTAAGGTCAATAAATGGTTGAACAGTAGCAAAATCGCTTCGAACTCAAGCGCACGCTGCAAAAACCTAATGATTTTCTTGCCATAAGCAGAGGTTCAGCTCTGTGGCAGGTCCGTCTCTGCACCTTGAAAGTTGGCATGAAGCCAGATTTTTAACGGCTGCTGAACGGCCACATTGGAGGAGCGTACTATTGCAGATGCTTTAATTCTAGGGCCTGTTTATGGACTACAAAGAGTGGCGAAAGACGGATTCTGCCTGGACGCTATCTTTGAAGGCAGTGGCTCGGCAAACCTCAACCTAGTCAAATTTGCGCTTACCTGGGGTTTTTCAATACGCTGATCCCGAAAATCTAGTTTTGAAAGCTTGAAAACGGCGAAAATGAGCGTTTTTTAATGCCCTTCCCTTTGATATTGGACGAATGGAGCAAGGCCGATGACGCTAAATCGTGGCAGGACCCAATACTTATAGCGTTGCGGCGGGCAGCCTCCAACGGTGAGAAGGAAATTGCCAACTCGTCCAGATGCGTGCAAGATTAGCCTGCGCGTGTAAGTTCGAGAGCGATTTTCTCGGCAGGGAAAGCATACTGTGCAACCAGGATTGCACTGTTTTCATAGTTGGGCGATAAGGAACCCAGCAGGTAGGCGGGGTCTTCCCCACTATGAATTCACGCTCCCACCTTCCGGCGCGGACTTCTCGATTCCGCTAGCTCCTAGCATCGCTACTGGCCAAGGGCGAATGATTGACTTGAACCAGAAGCGAGAGGATCGCATCAGAAGCTGGGAGCGTGAATTGACAGTGAGGAGAACCCCGCTCACCTGCTGATTCCCCCCCCCCTGTGTTAGAGCCGTTTTTCGCCGTTTTCGTGTTCTCTAATATGAATTTTCGGATTCAGCGTAGCGAATAGGCCCGGGTAAGCACAAAATCAAAAAATAGAGTTTTTGCCCGGACACTGCCTTTAAACTGATCAGCGTCCACCTCACCATTTTACGGCAAGATTCAATCACCACATTATATTATTATATTTCCTGTTTATCCGAAGTAGTCTTATTCGTTAGTCGAGTCCGAATATACTAGCTCTCACACCCTGCTTCGCCCTGTCAATTCTACACTATGCTAAGTGTATCAACGCATTAGTTCCGTAGCATTTCCTCACCCAGTCAGAACTCTACTCAGATAATGGTCGGTGGCAGGCGGTCCGCAAACTTGCGCTTTGCAGGCGGCCATCAAAATTTTGGGGGCGTCGTCAAACCTTTAGCAAGCGACACTTCCTGTCTGCCAGCAAGCAGCAATACAAAATTTTCTGCAAGAGCTCGTCATATAATCTCTTTCAGCGAGTGCGGCCAGATTTTCTGCAGGCTTTCGGGCTTTTTTTACGCAGCTTCGGGAGTACGCCGAGCAAAAGTGAGAGACAAGAGACCTCTATGTGGCAGAGATGTCATCGCCGGTTTGATTATCCGAGTTTGGGATACTTTCTCTCCGCGGAAGGTACCTATGGATTGGGCGGTCCTTCACAAAGGATCGTATGACCCTCAATAATTCTGCATATTCTCGCGGATAGTCTGCGAGAATGCGATCATTGCGCCGCAACTTATCCACAGAAACATCGCGATAGTTCTCCGAGCATTCGCTAGAAGATTGGCCAACATTCTTTCAAATTTCTGCAAGCGGACCGCGACTATTTTTCCAATGCCCGCTTGCTCAAAAATGGCATGGCCGCCTGCCCCGGCGATTATCTGAATATATGCCAATACCGTGCTCCCACTATGTTCCCTCCCCACCCCCCCCCTGTACCGATTCCCAGCTTCATGTCTCAAAACTGCAAAAATTCGATGAAATCGATAAAGGTAGTCGATAATCTCAAAATAATGTGTTAATAATCAAAATGCTAACTTACCTTTCTCTGCCAAGTACCAGCCCCGCAGCTTAAACTTAAGGAAAAATAGATAAAATAAAAAACATAACAGATCACTCTGAAAAAATATTGTGTTCGTAATTAGAGTCACTTACCCCCTATGGCAACTCCCGATCGATAGAATTGATGAAATCGACGCCGATCAGCAACGAAAGGTAGCCGCCCAGACCCGAATTGTAGTGTGCAAAACTTGGTCCGGATCGGTTTAGATAGATTCTGTCCCGCACATACATATGTACAGGCAGACAAACAGACAGACAGACAGAGAGAACTGAAATTATGTGCTCTCACTCAGTGTTTTTATTTTATTAAGATTCCGACGATGAAACTGAGCAAGCTTCTTCAGCTACTGAAGTATGCCGTGTCTGTGGAGCGGGAAAGGTTGGTTTCTTTAAGTTTGTCAACAGTCTAGCGATTAGTGGGGCAAATGGCGAATTTAAGGCAGCTATGCACTACGGAGCCGTTGCTTGTGTAGGATGCAAAGGTTTCTTTCGTCGCGCTCTGATGAAAGCCGATCAATTGGAATGCCAAGCAATTGGAAAGTGCCCGATACGAGCCGGTAAGGTCGAGAACGTGACAATAAAAAGTAGCACTTACACATTGTACATTTGCTGTGTGCGATTGCTATCAGATAGCTCTTATTTTTTGACACAATATTCACTTCTTTAGATGATGTTACCGGAAACTCCTGGAATTCCCCAGAAATCTACGTACTTATCAAATAGCTAAAGATAGACTGGATCCTTTTGAGTGATACTCTTGATGCGCATAGATTCAATCGTCTCAGTTCAGAAATCACAAAATCATTTCGTACGAAAATAATTCATGGCCCCCAAAACACTTTTTGGAAAGCTCACCATATCCTAGTGAACTCATAATAGGGAAGAGATTTGAGGAGTGGGGGGGGGGCTGGAGGAGTAGGCGCCCATTGCAATTTTTCTGATTTTATCGTAGCAACTGCCACCATGATCAGAGTTTTACTTTTACCTGAAGTATTCTTAGGAGCAAACATACGCTTAGATAATCGCCGGGGGCAGGCGGTCCGCAAACTCGCGCTTTTCTGCAGGCGGTCAACAGAATTTAGGGGCGCGGCCAAACCTTCAGCGGGCGGCACTCCCTTTACGGTCGCATATTCTGCCAGCGAACAATACATTATTTTCTGCAAGAGCTCGGCTAATAATTTATTTCAGCGAGCGCTGGCTAAACTTTCAGCAAGCGCTAGGACTCTTTTAAAGCAGTTTCGGGCATACGCCGAGTAAAGATGAGACTCTATGTGGCAGAGGTGTCATCGACGGTTTAATTATTCAAATTAAGGTACCTTTTTTTAGCGGAAGGTACCTACGGGCTGTGCGGTCCTTCACAAAGGACCGTGCGGCCCTCAATATTTTTGCATATTCTCGCGAAAACTCCGCGAGAATGCGGCCACTGCGCCGCAGTTAATCTGTAGAAAAAAACCAGAAACTTCTCCGAGCATTCCTCTAAAAATTGGCCAACATTCTTTCAAATTTCTGCAAGCGGACCGCATGAAATCAGCGAACTATTTTTTCGATGCCCGCTTGCTCAATCGCATGGCCGCCTGCCCTCGGCGATTATCTGAGCATTTAGTTATTCAGACAATCGCCGGGGGCAGGCGGTCCGCAAACTCGTGCTTTCTTGCAGGCGGTCAGCAGAATTTTGGGGCATGGCCAAACCTTCAGCGAGCGTAGTTCCTGTGCTGTCGCATGTTCTGCCAGCGAGTAGCAATACAGAATTTTCTGCAAGCAGCCGTCAAGTAATTCCTTTCAGCCGTTGCCGGCCAAATTTTCAGCGGGCGCACTGGCTATCGTTGAAGGCACCGTCCACCCAAAATGGAGGTTGGCGAGATCTATGGCATACCTAGTGTAGGCCCCCACACTAGGCAAACCTCCAAGCTTCGCCGCAAAAGACTGCTTCTGGAGCGAAAAATCCGCTTCGTAAGTAGCAAAGTAGGCGGGGCGACCATGGTCGCCTCGCCTGCGCTTGTTGCAGAGGGTTCTTAACACATTGACGAAAAGGCCGATTTTTCGATTACTGCCATTTCGGACAGGAGCCTTTTTTGCTCTGCCAAACTTACGACCCACCCGTGGGTCGTATTGTCCGAAATGGTAGTCTTTTTGTAAGAAATTCAGAACATGCCTCCAAGAATTTCCCCACGAGGGTTGTCGAACGCGCTGATTACCAAAATATGATTTATTTCAGTTTTTGGCGTTATACGGTAAGGTTACGGTAGTCATTCTGTACGAACCCAACATCATGGATTTTCATAAAAATTTGTGTATTGGGGTTATTTCACGTGCTGATCACGACTATAGTGTCCATTTGTTCACTACATTCTCACGGTGAGACTACGGTAGCAGTACGATAGTTCGTAGAAATCAAGAAACTGATGTTAGAAGGTTGTATCAAAACTTGAGACTATCATTTTCGTAATCAGCATGCTACAAAACCTATATATGCAAAGTTCGAGCTTCCTAGGACGAAAAATGCAAAAAATCAATAAAATCAATAAAATCGATAATTTTTTGGTGGATTAACGTCAGTCTCTTGCCCGCCCCGTGTTACTCTTACAAGGGAAGAAAGGTTGGTCGAAGTGGCCTTTTGAAATGAAATGTTTACTGCCTTGTAGAGCTTGGAACGCTGATCCCACATCTACCTTTGCTATCTGCTGCGGGCTTCTGGGCGAGAAGTTATGAAGGTTTTTGTGAGCAAAAATCTGAATGCAAAAATAGGGTAAAATCAATGTAACCTTTTCCCAATGTTCAAACGAGGCAGCAGTGAATTGGTACATTTGAATCGAGAATATTCGTTGTACTGAGTGACCCGAGTATCAATTTAGCCGTATAAAAAATGTTACGGCTGATTCAAGTCTACTCCTGCATTCAGATTTTTACTCACAAAAACCTTCATAACTCCTCGCCCAGAAGCCCGCAGCAGATAGCGAAGGCAGATTTGGAGTCAGCGTTTCAAGCTCTACAAAAAATTATACATCTCATTTTAAAAGGCCACTTCGACCAACCTCCCTTTCCTTGTTAGATGTAAACTTGATTCTCAAGAAACAGCATCATTTTACGAAGAATTTGAGCTAAAGCTTGTGCCTTATAGATGTCTACCGTATACCAACCGTAACATTACATTGCAGTATCCCGAGCCCAGACCACTCTGGCTGGAGCTTTACCTAAGTGCCCCCGATCATGTGCCAGAACCCCGTAGAATTTCATCGTAAACTGGCAAAGGTAGAGCTTCATGAATCTTACGACCCACCCATGGGTCGTATTGTCCAAAATGGCAGGACACGTACGACCCACCGGTGGGTCGTATTGTCATCAATGTGTTAAAACGGATTTTTGGGGTTTCGCGGATTTTCGACTCCATATTCGGAATCAGGGCTTTCAGAAGGCCTGAAGGCGACAAGAACATTGAATTCGAGATTTTGGGTGGATGGTGCCTTCAAGCAGTTTCGGAGGTATGCCGAGGGAAGGCAACATTCTACATGGCAGAGGTGTCACCGGTGGTTTAATCACCCGAGTTCGGGGTACTTTCTCTCAGCGGAAGGTACCTCCGGGCTGTGTGGTTCTCCACAAAGGACCGTGCGGCCCTCAACAATTTGCATATTCTCGCGGAAAGTCCGCGAGAGTGCGGCCACTTCGCCGCAACTAATCTATTAAAAAGCCGCAATTGTTCTCCGAGTATTCGTCTAAAATTTCGCTAACATTCTTCCAAATATCCGCAAGCGAACCCCAAGAAATCAGCGAACTATCTTTCCGGTCCCCGCCTGCCCATAAATCGCATGGCCGCCTGCTTCCGGCGATTATCTGAGTAGTTGCAAAATTGTTCGTTCAGCGGGTTGGGCAGATATATTGGCGGGCCCAGGTTAAGGTATGCTGCACGCATGTACAGTCTTTTGTACTATTTTTCATGCGATCTCAACTGAACAGCCATAAACTTTGCCTCACCTTCAAAATGCAAATCTCATCTATAATTTCCCTTCTTGTGCAATACTTCCTTTTAAACAGGACCCCTTTCAAGTGTACAAGCCGCACCCTGATTTTTCCCAAAAACCAAACGCGCCGAGAATGCGCGTATCATGGGGCACGTGAAAGGGAGAGAAGTAGGAGAAAGCGAACGCTCCCTAGCGCATATGCGCAGTGCGCCCAGGTCTGCTCGCGTTTAGAGCAATAGCCTGCGGCTTGTACATTTGAAGATAGGGTACTATGATGCAAAGATAGGGTATTACTACTGTTTGCGCGCATTCCCCATTCATTGATAATATCGTGTTGAGATATGCGAACTCAGTGCCGCAGCTGTCGATTTCAGAAGTGCTTAGAAGCTGGGATGAAGCCAGAAGGTTTGTTACTGTGAGGTGGTGCAAAGTAATGGGGCACTCAAAGAATGAAAGTATTACACTTTTTTCCAAAAAGCATACTTGATTATATGCCCCTTTGGCATCTGATATATACCAAAACTCTCTAAATGAAGCCTATCCAAGTTCTCTGATGCTTTCATAATCAACGTAGTTGAATGCAAAGTTGGTGGTTTGGGAAGTCAAGAACATCGAGTAATTTTGCGGCCGTATTCGTCAACGAAATCTAAGAATAGACCTTACTCTTGAGGGAACTTATCCCGGAAGACAGTTAACCCGTATTCATCGAAAACCTTGAAAATAAACCTTATCCCAAAAAGGGACCAACCCGTATTCACGAACGTAGCTTACAAGGAAATGGTCAGAAATCGAACTGGCCAATTCAAGCAAACTGAATACCATTAGATGCAGCATAAAACACTGACTCTAAGGCCCGTATGCACTAACATTTCTGCGGCGAGGGGAGCGGCGTCCTCCGTTATGAAGGGACCGCGTGCGGACGCCGCTGCGGCTTTTTCATCATTGGGGACGCCGCTCCCCTCGCCGCAGGGATGTTAGTGCATGCGGCCCTAAGTCTGTCTTCCTTATCTTCAGGACACCTTTGTGAATGTATTAGGTTGTAAAGATTTCCCGGGCGCTTTTGGAAATTTCATTTTCAAACGCATTTTTTCGGCGCTCGGTCGGACTATGACAACAAGTTTTTTATACTGTTCAGTAGAGAGAATCCTAAAATTTTCAATACGTCTTCTGATTTTTATCGATGCCAAGACATGTTTGATCTGCACACCAAGAAGAAAAATCTTTGCAACCATAAAAATTTCAGAAAATTTTCTTACTAAGGCCATTTTTTTGTGCAATTCAAAGAATTTTTTCCAAATCGTGGGTGATTTGATTGAGAAGCCTGTTAACTTCTGACTCGTAGCTGCAAGTTTTGCGATTTGCGCTCAAAAATTACAAGCTGTCGAACTTGCCTTTGACTGCAACTCCTTTCGCAGCTGGCGTCGCTTCTGCGGGGATCGCTATGCTTGGATGATGGGCCCAAAAAATGTGTAAGGAATTACTCCAACAATGTTTGCAGTAGTCAAAGATTTGGTGCATCTTATGCAGAACGACAAAGTCTAAAAGTTACTTACTCGAAAAATGGTGCATTTTTAGGGCCGAAAAATGATCGATTTTTCAAAATTAAAAAAAAAATTTTTCGCATGTGGTCGCTGAAGGGTTTGAATAGTCTCCATAACAGCCCCAGCAGACTTCTATATATCTGCAGTACTTGAGCTCTCTAGCTTTCATCGTGCCTGAGATAATCTGCACAATTAGGCCACTTCGCCATGACCTTTTTCCCTTCTGCGCATGCTGGTGGACCGCAGTGAGGTGCTGAGAAACCAGCAACACAAACATACGTTGTGGACGAAATTGTCTTCGCAATGAAATTTGTAGCTTTAAAAAAGAATCGATCTGCTTGAAGTTACAGAGATTTGAAAAAAGTTTTTGCAAGTGCTCAGGAACTTTCTTTACAACCTAATAATAAGCCGTTAAGGGCCATTTTTTGCCAAAAAAAATCGTGCGTGTAAAGGGCAAACTTGACCACAAAGCATTCTCGGCTCGGTGTTGAACCAAAGCAGGCAAGTGGGTCACTTCATATGCCTGTAGCTATGAGCTAAAAAAGCAGTAATGTGCCTAATTTCGCTTTTCACTTCATTTGTCACTTTTTGTGCGCAATTTTTTCGCAGTAAAGCTGCTCATAACTTCGCCTACAAAGGCGCTCGCAGATATGGAAAATAGATTTGAAATCAGCATTCTAGCTGCATCGAAAGGTATGCGCTTGTTTGGATTGGCCACTTCGACTTCTGACCATTTTCTTGTCAGCAGTGTAAATTTAACCCTAGCATAGAGCAAGGTTAAATTTACTCTGACACTTGTTACGAACATAAAGTAATTCTTCGATGTACCACTCACTCTTAACGATAGTTTTAAACACAAACACATGTTTCTAATTATTAGGTCGGTGCAAAAGTTTTGTCAGTTTTTTCAATCCATCGGCAATCACGCTAGAATGAAGCTAAACAAAGACTTCAAAATGTATCCGATGCAGAATTTCTTCCTCTTTCCAGCCGCTAAATTCCCAGTGTGTTTCGTTGCGAGAGTGACGAGATATTTGCTGCAAATATCAACCACTCGTTTTTACCATGTCCAAATTTCGCTAATTTTCAAAATTTTTGTATGAGACTTTCGAAGGAGCCCTAATAACCAGCAGATAGGGCTAACCTTTTGCCAACTTATGCAATTTTTTGTAGCCTTACAGCTTGTCTTTCAGAATTTCTACGATTTATTTTTTGAAGTGACCAAGTTATACATTCAGCCTATATTGATCTCGTAGAACATAAAATGCTAAAACTTTAGTCACCATTCGATGCAGATTCTTCTCCTCTTTCTAATGCTTGTCTTTTTTTGCCGAGACAAGCGAAATTTGTGGGGAAAATCGCAGTATTTCTCAATTTCAGGAGTGCGCACAGGCGTAACCTATGTTTCAAAATCTTCATAATTTAAAGCGAAAATCGCTCATTTAATTTGTAATGGTAGCGGTAGAAATAATCATGCGCTAAAACCTCAGTTTTCTGTGGGTTTTGCAGTGTTTGGTGCAATAACAGGTTATGCAATTTTTCCAAAACACAAGACTTTTAGAAAATTACTTAGCAAAAATCTGGAAAAGCAGCTGATAAAAAGAAAAAATTGCATAAGTTGGCAAAAGGTTAGCCCTATCTGCTGGCTATCAGGGCTCCTTCGAAAGTCTCATACGAAAATTTTGAAAATTAGCGAAAGTTGGACATAGTAAAAACGAGTGGTTGTAATTTGCAGCAAATATCTCGTCACTCTCGCAACGAAACACACTGGGAATTTAGCAGCTGGAAAGAGGAAGAAATTTTGCATTGGATACCTTTTGAAGTCTTTGTTTATCTTCGTTCTAGCGTGATTGCCAATGGATTGAAAAAACTGACAAAACTTTTGCACCGACCTAATATTATCATCCCAGAATTTCTTACATTAGTCCTCTTTTCGTCTAGTCTATCCACATCACGAAAATTAGGATAAACTTTTTTGAATATTTTGTTGGTCAGTTTTTGAGCTCATCTGGTCAAGTTACGATGTTTGATCTTGTTCAAATCATTTACTGAACGATTATATGGTGGGCCAAAATATGAATGACGAGTTTCATATAAGGGTGTCTCATAATTTTTTACCGTTTGTACCCTAAACATTAGCATTTCTCGAGAACAGGGGCACCTATGAAGGGTATACATACATGGTCGTACTTCTGTATGTATGAGCAGGGTCAAGTGTGGAATGTGGCATGCCACACTTGAGGGGTCGTATTGAGGGGAAAGGGAAGGAGGGGAGGGGGCGCTATCGAGTGATTCTGTAGCGATAGCATGATATTTAACGTTGTCGGATAGGCCCATTAGGCAAAATACTAGCACAACGATGTTTTGGCCTACCAAAGCATAGTACAGTAAGCATAATGAAAGTGCCGTAAAAGCATAAGAGCTTTATTTTCGTGATTAGCATTTAAGTAACCCCTGCAGGTCAAACTTCAGCAACTTCTGAGGTTACACCAAGTGGGATGCTCATTTGCAAACATGTTACCTTTATTTCGAAGGAGTTAATTACTTCTCTATGCAATTATACAAGGAACTATTACTTCGTGGCTCACATTAGGAATCCCACCTCATATAATCTCCAAGCTAAGAAATCAACAGCAAGCCAAAATTTCGTTTGTTCCATTTTTCGCTTTTAATATCTCAGATTAGAGAGGACCAATAAGACTCAAAATTACTTCTGTGTAAATTACGAAGCTCACACTATCACATTTATTCTTTCCGCCTTCCCTCGCGATTTACGTAGTAGAGAAGACTTAGCATGTTATCATAACCCAGTACTTTCGCAGTGTCTTCCATTTTGCCTAGGAAAGAGAAAACGACTATATCTTTCCTTAAAAGAATCGATTTCAAGTGAAAATCCTACTACACACTGTAGCAGCCACAGCTTTTCTTGGTTTATGTCACACTCCACTAACTTATCTTCAAAGAGAATATTAGAGAACAAATTATAAACAGTTCAATAACCAATGTAATTTTCGTAGAAATGATTAGAGCTGATTTCGCCTTCTTTCATTTGAGCAATAGTTGCTGGAAGCACAACCGGTGTAAGTGAACGAGATAAACGTCTACGGGCGGAGTTTGCCATTTTACTCCATTTATTTTTTTTCTATATTTCTGGACGTGGAAAATAATTACGAAAAGTGTACAATCAAATCTTCGATGTGTCAAGCATATTTTAGAATAAATGGAGAATTTTTGAGATTTTTTGAAGCCGAGATACGATTTTACGGTGAATTTTGTTTTTGACTGCTATTATACAGGGTGTCCCAAAAAGATGTGCACACTGTTTGATTGTTAATAACTTTCTTGCTTTCATGTCTTTTGCCGAGCTTGAGGTACCATTCTGTATAGCGAGGATAAACTTAGATTTACAGTATGGAGGGACTTACCAGCCGCTTTTCATTACTGTAGAATTACGGTAGGAATTTCGAGGAGGATTTTCAGCAAGAAAGCTGTATTTTGCCTCAAGAAAAAGCCAAATAAGCCAGAAACTCTTGAACTGGGTTAATCATAGTCGCTGATTCTAAATATGAAAACTGCACATCAGTACAATGTTTCTTTCATGAGTTATTTCAAATTTAGGGTAACAACTGATTTTCCAGTGTTCAGCAGAAATGTGAATACGCCATCAAGAAAGCTCGAAAAACTGATGGAAAGTTATGTAGTGAAATCAGCACGCCTGAAAACCTTGCTACACAATTTTTCAGATTTTTTAGAAATTATTTCATCAAAAGTCTTATCCCACAGCGATGCTGTATGCTGAAAGTTCATACCGTAATCCTACAGTAGCAAAAAGAGATTGGAGTTTTCCTTAACACTGTAAATCTA